GGTAGATGTGCCACGGATGGAGCCTCAGAAGGAGCGTTGAGTCTTGCTATGGCAATGTATTGTACCACTACTTCAGTGGTAGCACGAGTTGAATCTTCCGTGATCATACGCTGAAAGTCCTCTTCGGTTATCTGAACCGTTCGAGGAGCAAGTAGAAGTTGATCTTGTTGAAGCTTTCGCGATCATACGTTGAAGGTCCTCATCGGTTATCTGAACCGTTTGAGGAGCAAGTAGAAGTTGATCTTGTTGAAGCTTTCGCGATCATACGCTGAAGGTCCTCATCGGTTATCTGAACCGTTTGAGGAGCAAGTAGAAGTTGGTCTTGTTGAAGCTTCCGCGATCATACGTTTAAGGTCCTCATCGGTTATCTGAACCGTTCGAGGAGAAAGTAGAAGTTGATCCTGTTGAGGACCCAGTGGGGCCTCGCGAGGATGAACTTGTGTTGGATGCCGAATGTGGCGAGGCGGAATCGGCAAGCCAGAGCCTCCATGAGGTGGGAGGTTGTTAGCGGTGAAGGGTCTCTTCGGTTATCTGAACCGTTCGAGGGGCAGGAAGAAGTGGATCGTGTTGAGGATCTAGTGGGACATCACGAAGAGGGTCTCGTGGTGGATCCCGAGCACGAGGAGGAGGATGTGGCAAGCCAGAACCTCCACGAGGTGGGAAGTTGTTAGCAGTTAGGGATGGCCATGGGGCGGGTACGGGGCGGGTATCGCAATCCCTGCACCCGCCCCGTTTAGAAAATCAAGCAACCCGCACCCGCCCCATATACCCGTTGCGGGTTGGAATTTTAGAACCCGCCCCCGACCCATTTTGCACCCGCGGGTACCCGCCCCGTTCGACGACTCATTTTTCCTTTTCTCTTCCATTTAAACTTTTCCTTCTTGAATATAAAAATCAATTCTAGTTATGTTCCTTCAAAAAAAAAGTTTTTTTTCCAATATATATATACTAATTACTGAATACAATTAAAATATAAATGCAAATCAACAATCATTTTATAAAATAACATATTACATCAGAAAGTAAAAGCAAACATCGTTATCTTTTAACAAGCCACCCAGTCACCTATGTTCGACAATACTTAATACAAAATAAATAAAAATAAAATAAATAGAAAAATAATATATACAAAGGTATTATACGTAAATAAAAAAATACGGGTTGGGTACGGGGGAAATTTTACTATACCCGTACCCGCCCCTTACCCGTTGCGGGTATAAATTGTAAAACCCTTACCCGCCCCAATCCTAAACGGGGCGGGTATTATCCGTCTAAAATGGGGCGGGGCGGGGCGGGTACCCGCTGGGTCGGGTAATATTGCTATCCCTATTAGCAGTGTCACACCCCCCTAGCAAATGTCTCAAGGTCATCATGCGCGCTACGTGATTATGTCTACCTTCCCACAGACGGTGCCAAAATGATGATGCTAGAGTTAGATCACCTTAGAGAGTTGAGATAGGATGAGCTCGAAGAGAGTGGATCACTGGCTCACGAGCTTTTGATGACCTTGAGATACCTGCGATCATAAGAAAACGTGAACTAGGCCGGGGGTTGATCCGGCGGAAACTCCTCCGATGCTCAAGTTAGACGTGCGGATAGTAGAAATGGTCCAGAGAATACATGTTTTAGTATTGCTTAGATAATATGACGTACCTTAAGGAATGATTTCGAACCTTTATTTATACCTTAGTTGAGATTGTCGGGCCCAAACCTTACTTGAAGGTGATTGGGCATCGGTGGTAGTAGTCTTCAGTATTGGGTTCGTGGCCCAGTAGGTAAAGGAATTGTAGGCCCATTGGGTTGGCCCAACTATGCATATCAACCTGCTTCACAAGCAAACATTATGTGAAAGAAGACGAAAGGCCGAATGGAGTTTGGATTAAATCAGTGCAGTTGGTGAGCTTGTTAAGAGATGTCTAAAGTTTAACGTAGACGAAAGGCCGACTATAAAAGAAGTGACTATAGAATTGGAGAGGTTGAGAAAGTGTAATACGCAATCTCATAAACAAGAAGAAATATTCCTTGATAAAAAAAAAACATGGGATTAAAAGGTGAGCAACAACCAGATCTATATCTTAGCTTGTAGTTAAGCAACTCGCACACCTAACATGGAGTTGGGAAACAATTAATATCCTGCTTTGAAAGAATAAACAATAATATTATTGAAAATATTCAATGCCTCCAAATTCGTGTAAATGAATATAAATAAATATAAAATCAGAGATTTCTTTCAAACAATAAATAAAAACTCTTGTTGAGAAAGATTACACAGCGAAATATAAATAACACAAGTTTTAAATCATTATGCACAAGTATATAGCTTGTGGATGGTGCCTTCATAGGCGAAAAAAAATATTCAAAAGAATACAAATGAGAAGCCAAGATCTTATCTTCTAAGAAGAAATAACAGGTTGATTTCTTCGTAAACTAATTCCTAAACTCTATGACAATATTGCTTAACAGCTCTTCTAGGAATACAAATCAGTATTCAAAAGAATACAAATGAGAAGCCAAGATCTTATCTTCTAAGAAGAAATCACAAGTTGATTTCTTCGTAAACCAATCCCTAGAATCTATCATGATATTGCATAGCAGCACTCTAGGAATACAAACCAGTATTTAATGAGATTGAATACAAAAGAGACTCAATTCCGTGTTTTTTTATTATTTTTTTATTTTTAATTATTTTTGAATATTTATAAAATATTCTCTTTTATCGGAGTATGGAAGTTTCAATACGAAGACATGTTGGGACTATATTCGTCAAAAAGGGGGTGACAGTGCTTTGGTCTAGGAAAATTTGAGCTGCTCCTATTCCTCAAGTTGTAGGAGCGTTTGCATGGAATCTTATTAATTAATCACGCGATTCTAGTTGACCAGCGGATCCGCACGGGAGGGATCTCGATAGCATCTTGTTGCCAATGTTGTAAGAAGCCCGATCCAACATCTTTTTCTCACCTCTGATATTGCATTATCCGTTTGGAAGTTTTTCGGGCAAATATTTCATCTGCCTAGCTTACTGCTTCCATTCGGTCAAGCAAGCCTTGGCAGCATGGGCAATTAATCTATCCTCTAATCTCTCAATATGAAGTTTAATGGAAAACAAAAATTAGCCAAAAAAAAAATTCATTAATCTTCTATTCAACAGTTATTCATAATTTATTAAACATCTGCAACACAGTAAATAATTTAATTTATATTTAATATTAATATATTATTTTATACTTTCTTTTAGATTTTTCTTTCTGTATTTATTTTATTTTATTAATCCCTCTCTTTACTACTATAAAAAAAAAATCAAAAATCAAAAAAAAAAAAAAAAAACCTTCTCATGTCAAATTGAAACATATTCTTCCACCCACCCACCTTCAACACCGAACCCTTATTTTTCGATTTTTCCTGCTATCGTCTGCTGGTTCTTTTCTTTCCCAATCACCACGACCCATCAAGCCATCATTGGAGACCAACCCAACTTCTCTAGAGTCATGACTTAGCCTGAGAACTAGCGCTACCCAAGCCATGTGCCTGATTCAGCAGCAATTTTGGCCGAGTTTTCTTCCATTTTGGTTTTTTTTCTTCTTCCTCCCCCATCTTACTCCGTATCTATTATTGATTTCTCAAAAAAACCGCCGGTTTCCGGGTTTACACTTCGATCGGCCAAAGATCCGGTTTTTACCATTTAAACCGTTTTGTTGCAACTTTTGGGTTTATAGTGCCAACCGGACCGGACAAGGCAGCGCTTCGGGATTAAACCGGCCCGTCCGGTCCCGGTTTCAAAACATTGTAAATAACTACCCACTAAGTTAACAATAACAGCCCACTAATTCTAGATAATAATTCCGAATTAAAATATTAAATCCTATATTAATAATAAATTCGAAAATATTTAAGAAAGTCAAAACAATTAAATTATAAAAGTCAAATATCCAACAATTATAATACTTGTGCTTATGATTTTAATTTCTTGGTTGCAACTTGTAAGAACTCTGGTTGTTATTGCCAGTTGAAAAAAAATATGTTGTAACATTTGTGAAAATTAGTTAATTTCGAAGCTTCACAGTTCACAATTACAAATTGTTTCGGCCAATCCCATATAGAGTGGAAAACCGATATAATCGAAGATAATATAACGGCATGACTATATCGACAAGAAAATCTCATGCACCAAAATAGCATTTGAAACCAAAGAGTAAGGCTCGTCAGTTGTCGTATAATTCTCTTAATGGGTGAAAATTAGAAGAAATCGATTGGTTTGCATTTGCGCTGTCATTCTTGTTCTCTAAATTGGTCTGTTATGAATATTTAACCTTAAAAGTAAAAACTGTAAACCAAGCACTCCATAAGCTCATATATGGTTTGTTGGTTTTCTACTATGTGAATATATCAAGAGAAATCATAGTAATATAAACTGAGGTATGTACGGTTGTTATGTAAGAATATTCACCCTATTTATAATGACTTTTCTTTGCTATGTTTTCAGTAACTAAGCCGAATTGTCATATGCAAGCGACAATTTCATGTGATTAGCCAATTTGGCATATTTTCCAAAAATATTCTAGATTTAATTAGTTTCGTGAAGTCATGGTAATAAGAGCTGGAAAAAGGGACACTATGGTTGACATTCTTTTGAGATGTGAGTGGTTGTCCTTAATTAAAATACTGCTCCAATTGAACAAATTGTTATCCTTCCTTAAAAAAAAATATTGTGTTTAGTTTGACAGTGTCTTAACCGTTAATGCAAGTCAATCAGATCATAATCATATTATTCTTTCAACTTCTTGGCAGGTGTCCAGCCAGTTATATTTGGGAATGTACAAAGCATACAAATTCTGATTAATGTAACAACTCATTCCCATAGTTCCTGCCTTAAGTTCATAAGGTTCACAAAGATTGGTTTCCCCACAAATTAGCAGCTACTCTTTCTATATCTCATACCCAAATAATATATATAGATAGATAATTTGTTGTGAACGCATATTAGCTCAAAATCATCAGCAACAATGCTAACAAAATTTCTTTTGTGTTCTCTTCTCTTCCGTTATGTATTAATCAAATGTGTTGTGTCGGTTTCTAACGAAACCCACACAAATACACCTTTGACAACTATCACAAAAGGTGGCAACATAACTAAGCCAGGCTGCCAAACCAAGTGTGGGAATTTAACTGTTCCATATCCATTTGGCATTGGAATAGAGTCAGGATGTTCTATCGACCCTCAATTCGATATCAACTGCAACACATCTTTCAACCCTCCAATGCCCTTTATTTCAACAGGAAACATTGAAGTTTATGATATAACAGATTCCCAAATAAGGATCAAGAATTTGGTAGCTGTCGGATGTTACGACAAGCTAGGAAAGCCGATCAGGCAAACCTCATTATGGATCGAGTTATCTCCATACTTGAGCTTTTCAGATGCAAATAAATTCACAATCATCGGATGTGATGATTTCTCCATAATATCAGGAACATATGGGTCTGTTTTCTCCACAGGTTGTGTTTCCCTTTGTTATGAAAAAGAGGACCTTCGTGATGGTTCTTGTACTGGTATAGGTTGTTGCCAAATTTCAATACCAAAGGGCTTACAGAGCTTTCAAACTTCTCTTGGCACCCTTGATAATCATAGTAGAGTCTGGTCCTTTGACCCTTGTGGTTATGCCTTTCTAGCAGAGCAAAACACATACACATTTCATTCATCTGACCTCATGGATGGCACATTTGCAAACACAATCATCCAAAATGTCCCGATACTCCTAGATTGGGTGATTGGCAACAAAAGTTGCGGCCAATCACAGAACTCGAGTGATTATGCATGTCAGAAGAACACTTATTGCATTGATTCTGACACAGGTCTTGGTGGGTATCGTTGCAGCTGCTTGGGCGGATATCAGGGCCATCCATATCTCGACCCAGGTTGCACAGGTTAGTACATCTTTTGGATTTTATATTACACTTAGGGCTTATCATAGTTATCTAGAAAAGTTGATTATTATGATGTTTATTTCTTATTTTCAGATATAAACGAATGTGAGAATAGTCCATGTGTAGCAAAGTCCATATGCACTAATTCTCTTGGTAGCTATAATTGTTTGTGTTCTGATGGCCTTACGGGTGATGGCACCAAAAATGGCACTGGCTGCTATAAACATAAGAAACCTATATCAACGCTGAAGTTATCAATAGGTACTTGTAAATGATAAATTTAATGTCTTTATCCTTTCTTTTGGCTAAGTTGCATGAGGATAGAAAGCAAGTATTAAACAACAGCTTTTAGGGGTGGTAACATTGGTTTAACATCTAGGATTTTCAAATGTGAATTTTCAGGTTTTGGTTTAGGCTTCTTGGTTTTAATAATCGGCATTAATTGGTTATACTTCATCATTCAGAAGAAGAAACTCATGAAAGTCCGAGAAAAGTTTTTCGAGCAAAATGGTGGTTTCTTATTGAAGCAACGACTTTCTTCTAATGAGACTACTATAGAATCAACTAAAATATTTTCTGCAAAAGATCTTGAGAAGGCCACCAACAACTATTCCAGTGATCGCATCCTCGGCCGAGGGGGTTATGGAACAGTTTACAAGGGGATATTGAGAGATAAACGTATTGTTGCAATCAAGAAATCCATAATAATGGATCAGAGTCAAATAGAGGTTTTCATTAATGAGGTAGTTATTCTGACTCAGGTTAACCACAGAAACGTGGTCAAATTAATGGGATGTTGTTTGGAAACTGAAGTACCTTTGTTAGTATATGAATATGTATCAAACAATACCCTCTTTTACCATATCCAAAACAGTGGGGACATGCCCTGGTTTTCTTGGGAAAATCGACTGAGGATTGCTACAGAAGCGGCATGTGCACTTGCCTATCTTCATTCTTCGGTAGGAATGCCGATTATCCATAGAGATGTTAAGTCTGCCAACATCTTGTTGGATGAGTGTTATACTGCAAAAATAGCAGATTTTGGAGCTTCAAGACTCATCCCTATTGATCGAACACAAGTGACCACTCTTGTACAGGGGACCCTGGGTTATCTTGATCCCGAGTATTTCCAAACAAGCCAATTGAGAGAGAAAAGTGACGTTTATAGTTTTGGGGTGGTCTTGGCTGAGATCCTCACAGGGAGAAAACCTCTGTGTATTCAAAACAGTGAAGAAGAGATGAACCTAGCTACTTACTTTGTAATGTTTGTGACAAAGAAACGCCTCTTCCAAATTATTGAGCCAAGAATTTTGAGGGAAGGGAGTTTGGAGCAAGTTAGCGCAGTAGCTGAGATTGTTAAAAGATGTCTCGAGTTAAAAGGCGAAGAAAGACCAACTATGAAAGAAGTAACAATGGAACTGGAGAGGTTAAGAAAGTATCATTTACAGTCTCACAAACAAGAAGAGATAATCCCCGATAGAAACATGGGATTAACAGGTGAGCAGCATCCTGATCTATATCCAGTGTCGATGAATTTGGCACAACAAATTGATTAATGCAATTAATAGCCCTCGCTAAATGGAAGGACACACAGTTTTTCCAAATATTCAGATAACTCGTCATTAACCAATTTGCATATCTAAAATGGAGTAGGAAAATGATGAGGTTTTTTTTTTTTCTAAAGAAGAAACAATAATTTGTGTGATTATTAACTTTTTGATTTTGTTTATGGCAATATGTGATAATATTTATGGAATGTAATTTTGAAGTTTTATAATCATCAATTGTTTCAGCTAATCCCTTGCATAATAAAAAAATTCTGAAAAGGTGGTCCAAACCATAGAGTTACACTAGACAGCTTTCAAATACAAGTCCAGGTATATTGTGTTCTGGTCTTCTAGACTACTCTTTTTGTGTCGTGCGTGTGTTTATCTCTCCCAATATTTATGAGCAACTCCACTTCCTTGCTTCATTTTAATTGAATAATTTGAAATTAAAACATTCAAATTCATAGTAACAAACCATTGAGATAGTTTGGTAGAGTTGATTACCTATGAATTTTTCATCCTTAACTCTTACTTTTGATCTAGTTCTTTTTTTAACTAGTAATCTACCCATGCAATGCACAGTTGGTGTTGTATATGCTGAAAATATTATCATATAAATATATACTAAACAGTAAGTATCATAGAATTATGATGCAAAAATAGAAAATAAACATTATCATAATCTTTATAAATAGATACTGGAAACTCACCCTTCTATTGGTGTTTGTTGATTTTAAGTATATATTATTGTCCGATCAAAGGACAATATAATATATGTTAGACTGGTGAAAAACGGTTAATTATGTAAAAGAGAAAAAAAACAATACAAATATTGTATTGAGAACATCAAAGTTATTTACTAAAATTTCAGACACAATGAATTTGTGCTATTTATTTCTATTGATACAATGCAAGAGCAACAGGGAAACAAAAGAAAAAAAAAATTCAAAAAATTATGAAAATGGGGTTAATGTGATATATTTGTTCGAATCTGGGGGCAATGTGTAATATGATGAAGTTAGAGTATAATGGATGGAATTGATAAAAATTATATTATGAAGGTTACTTTAGACAAAATACATGGATATGAGTATATTTGTAAGACTATTTTTTATTTGGACCTATGTACATTTAAGTCCGTTGTCATGGGCATATTTGTGCATAAGTTTCTAACCAATTATCTTTATTATTCTAGATTTAGAGACTATATATCTTTTGTCAATAAGCCCATCTCTTTAATATTTATTATAAATAAAGGAAAAATTCATGTGTATGACAAAATTACCCCCAACTCTTTACACCCAAATTCTTGATTTGTAACCCCAATTTAATCTTTTTTTACCACAAAAATCCAAACTTGACTTTTTTTTTCAAAAATTATTTTTTTGCCGCCGGTTTCCGGTGTTGACTTTTCGATTTTCATTTAAGTTTTGTATTTTTTTTTAACGTCTGCCGCTAAACGTTGACCGTAATTGTGCTGCCATTAACGATAATTATACTGTCACTGACAGTAAATTAATGTAATTATAGTGTCACTGGCAGTAAATTAACGTAATTGTACTACCGTTGATAATACATTTATAGGGTAAATTACAAACACCCCCCTTAGGTATGGTCAAATTACAAAAATCTCTCCCTCTTATTTGGATAATTACATCTACCTCAACTATGATTTTTTCTTACACCTCCACCCTTATTGTGCCAAATTCAACATATTCATCTAGATTCCGTGGAATGTGCTCTAATTTGTACTCGTTTTGTGTAAAAGTACAGTTTCCAATGCACCACAAACTAATATATACAAGCTAAAAATCACATATTATGATCAACTTGCTTCATAATCTAAAGTTTGAATGGGATAAAATGGGTACACAAGTGATAATATTCCATATAATCTCGAAGAATCCACTAAATTTGAGGAGTTGAGGGGTGGTTGTAATTATCCAAACAAGAGGGGTGTTTTTGTAATTTGACCATACCTCATGGGGGTGTTTGTAATTTACCCTACATTTATATAATTGTACTGCCGTTGACAGTACAATTAGAGTCAATGACAATATTATTATCTTTTTTTTTTTAATTTTGTTTGATTTGTTGACAAGTCAACGTAATTATATTACTGACGTTGACGGTAAAATAACTGTAAACACAATAATATAACTGTCATCCCATCAAAATTATTATTTTTTTGGGTTTTTTTGTTTTGTTTGAGTTATTCACAAAGTAACGTAATAATATTACTGTTTGTTATTGTAATATTATTGTAAACACAATAATATTACTGTGGTTATAGTAATATACTGTCAATCACCGTAATATTAATTCTTTTGGCTTTTTATTGTGTTTACCTTTGTTGAACGGTTAACATATTAATATTACTCTATTACACAATAATAATGACTTTTGTTGTGTTAATATTACTGTGCTATCGATTAATATAGCAATATTGCTGTGTTAAACTGTAGTATAGTTAGTTTTACTGTGTTTAACAGTAATAGAGTTAATATTACTGTCAACCACAACAATATTGTTGTTTAAACGGGGGACAAAAAGATGTTAAAGAAAAAAAAATTGAAAAAGTCAACGCCAGAAACCGGTGGCGGAAAAATCAGAAAGAAAAAAAAAAGTCAACGCCGGAAACCCGCGAAAAAAATCAGGAAGAAAAAAAAAAGGTCAAGGCCGGAGACCGCTTGTCAAACGGTGGTGACGGACGAAATTGTCCATAAAAATGTGTTCTAGATCAAAATTAAATATTTTTTGAAATTTGGGGTCAAATTGAGGTTATATTAAATTAAAGGATGAAATTAGAGTATATTAAAATATGAGGTGCTATTTTAGGTTTTTACAAACTTCTAGATCATGTGTGAACTTGTTTGTAATATAGTTTGTTGTCTGGACCTCTTTATAAATAAGTACTCGTTGATGGACTTATTTGTAAAGTGTCCTAAAAATATATAGTTTTTCTTATTCTATAAATAATATTTAATGAATTTGCTTTAGTTGTTAGTTTAACTATACTTTTCACCAACTCAAACAAAATTTTCTAAAAGAAAAAAAAACAAAATTTTCTACTCCCTTTTTTTTATTGATCAGTATTTTCTACTCCCTTAATTCGTATTCTTAACTCTCAAAAAGATGTGATACTGCAAAACTTCATTTGATTTGGTTCCTCTATCTCTAATAAAAGGATACGTATGTAATTTATTTTGTATTACAAGATTTCAAGACATTTTGAAATATAAAGGTGAAGCAAAGGACTACTAAATATTATTGGACGAACAAAATTATGTGACAGCACATTCGAGTTGTCTAAAAAGAATATAATTATAAGGAGTACTTCAATTCGATTTTATGTTAAAGTTTCAAACCATTTTATTTCTTGAAGCTTTAACACAATATTATTTTATTTTATTTTTGCTTCTTCCACAACAGTACAGGACGTTTCTCAATGATGTCAATGTCGTGCTGGAATAATTAGTTTAAACAATTCCTTGTAAATATTTAGAGATGACAATTAATTTAAGATGGTTGACAATTTTGCAATACGTGGGGGGTTATCATTTAGGTATTATATTATATATATATATATATATATATATATATATATATTTCTTGGCAGCTATCGTGCCGGTTATATTTTTTTATATGTGTTTACTCCATCAACTAAGAGATGTATACAAATTATATTTTTTTATATATGTTTACTGCATCAACTAAGAGATGTATACAAACAAACTCTGATGTAACATGATACATATAAGAAATATTGTTAATGCATCTTAGCTAGCTCAAAAAAATATCATAAACAATGCTAACAAACATTCTTCTATGCTTGCTCTCTCTTCTCTTCCAATTTGTACCGATTGAATGTGCAGTGGCAGCTTCCAATGAAACCAGCACGAGGAGACCTCCATCAGCTATCACAAAAGGTGTAAACATAACTAAGCCCGGGTGCCAAAGTAAGTGTGGGAATTTAGCTGTTCCATATCCATTCGGCATAGGCTCAGAATGTTATATACACCCTTCGTTTGACATCAATTGCGATACTTCTTTCAACCCTCCGAAGCCCTTCAGTGCACTGACGAGACTTGAAGTTATCGATATAACATATTCACAGATGAGGATAAAAAACTATATGGCTGCCACCTGTTACAACGAAATAGGCAACATCATCAGGGAAGAACAACTCAGCAGTATCGAATTAGGTCTACCTTTTAGCTTTTCTAATGCCAATAAGTTCACAGTTGTCGGATGTGATGATCTTGGCATACTATTCGGACTTGAGGGTATTAATTTCACTAGCGCTTGTCTTTCCACTTGTTCTGCAAGAGAGCAAGTCCGTGATGGTCCCTGTACTGGTATAGGTTGTTGTCAAACCTCAATACCAGGGGGCCTAACAAAATTTGCTGTTAATCTAGGCAGCATAAATAATCACGTGGATGTGTGTTCCTTCAACCCTTGTAGTTATGCATTTCTTGCAGACCAAGGTAGCTTTACACTTCATTCCTCTGACCTCAACGACGACACTTTTAAAAATAGAACAATTGAGAATGTTCCACTGGTCCTGGATTGGGTGATTGGGAACAAAACTTGTACTGAAGCTCAGAAATCCAATGATTATGCATGTCACAAAAATAGTACCTGCATTGACTCCAACACCACTGTTAATGGATACAACTGCATATGCTTTCACGGATATGAGGGCAACCCATATCTCGAACCGGGCTGCACAGGTTACTTTTTTTTTCGCTTTTACACCACACATCAATGTTTTGATAAACGTACTATAAATTATGACGTTCATTTATGAATTTCAGATACAAACGAATGTGAGAATAGTCCATGTGTACCAATTGCCGAATGCACTAATTCTCCTGGTAGCTATAATTGTTTATGTCCTCATGGCCTCATGGGTGATGGCACAAGAGATGGATCAGGCTGCTTTAAACATAAAAAATCCATCTCAACTCTGAAGTTGTCATTAGGTACCCGTCATTGATAAATTTCAA